CGCGTTCCATTTACGCCCCGTCACGGTAAACGTAAACGTAAACGTGAACGCGAGCGACGAGCGTTCGGAACGATCCCGACGATTCGAGGCGGACGGAGCGCGGAGTCGAGCCGGGAGCGAGCAAACGGACCGGCGACGAGCGGAGAAGCCGGAGAGCCGATAAAGGCTGCCCGCACAATATAGCCTCGCGACGGAATCGCTCGCGGTCATTCTTCGCTGTAATTACCGAACAGATAAGAGAATGAAACACGACGGGGAACGAGGGGGAGAGAGAGAGCGGCGGAGTATCGGACTGCCGACGAGCAGGAGAAAAATCTTCTCCGGCTTTCCTCGAGAATAATGCACGCACCCGGGGGACCCGGGCTTTCAAGGAAATGCTGATTGCTTCCCTCCCCCCGGGCCCCGGCCGCTCGCCGATTCACTCGGATCGTTCGATTCCCCTGTCCGCCGCCCCGATCTTTGACTCGCCCCCGACAGGCACGCGTACGCTGTCGGCAGCCAATCTGTCGTGTATTATGCATATTCGATTGGAACACGCGGAGCCGGGGGCAGAGGATTACCCGGGCGAGCGCGGTGCGCGACGACGATTAGGAGAGGCTGAAGGACGTCGGGAGATGGGATGGGAATGAAGGAGCGAGAGTGGCACGACGGACAGGGTGATGGAGAGCCCGGTATAGCTGACCGGGCAGAAGAAAATCAAACGCGACTTATCTCGCGGAACCAACTCGAGAACGTTCTCCTGGGGAGTGTGTGTACGTTGCAGCGAACCTGGCGCTCGTGACGTCACGGGGCGGAGACTGACGAGAGGACCAATTGTAGATTGTCGCGTTGTCGATCCGCGTGAGCGCCTCGGCGAATCGAAGGAGAAGCTTCGGGTTTGACCAATCGGACGAGAGTGACAGGTTCCCTGCAACGTAGCGTCTCGCAGCGGAGTGGCTCCCCGGTTGAAGATTAATTCCTCGTCCCCGTGGAGGTCGGGGGAAATCGGGAATCCGAATATAACGGCGGAACGAGGGCGTGGTAGGATTCGTTGTCGAGCGCCGCTTTCAACGGTCTTAATGGTTTGCTATTCACGGGGAGCGTGTGAAAATTAGCTGGGCTAAAAGCATCGGGTAATCGAGTTATTACGAATAAAAGAGAAGCGGTGGGAGCATGGGCTGCGGAATGGTCGCGCGAGAGACCATCCTAGATAGCATTAAAAGCGTCTAATTAATGCCGTTAAGGCTCTTTAGGCCGCGCGGCCCGCGATCGGAACGCTCGCGATCATCGTCCCCCGAGCGCCGATATTTTCGGCCCGGCCAATCCGACTCCGATCCGACTCGACTTTCACGCGCGAGAGCGTTCGCTCATTTCCCGAGCACTTTAGTCATTTTCCCGGCTGGTAAAAGCGGGGAACTCGATCGGGAGAGCGCCTTCCCGTTTCCAGCTCGCGGAGTAGAGAAATCGTTCAATCCCGAATAAAGGACTCGCGCCGCTCGCTCGGCGGAAATGCTCGAACGCGCGTCGGCCCCGCGCGTTCCGCCTATTAGGTACCGGGAAATGTCTCGGGGAACGTTGGAAAACGCGTGGCCGGCGTCGATCGTGCCTCCACGAGCGGCCGACGGAATTGCCGGCGAATCGTCCGCTCGATCGAGAAACCCTTTCGATTAAGACAATTCCGGGCAATCCTCGTCGCCTCCTGCGCGTCGTTCGTGCCGTCGTTTGTGCCGTTTCCGTCTGTCCGTTGTTCGCGCGGACAAAGCATCCAATCCGGCGTTCGGTTTACGATCGACAAGCTTCTTTCCGAGACGGAACCACTCGAGCCGCGGAAGGCGGCCGGCCGATCGTCGGAGCTGTCGGACGCGGCGAACCGAAACGGTCGCGAGGCATTGTTCGGCCGGGCGCGTTCTTAATCTCCACGGTTGTCCGCAAGCACATCTGTGTTCCAGCCGGCGCGACGAACGAGGAAGCGAGGCGAAGGCGGCGGTGCGAAGGATGAAAATGGTCGGCGCGGAATGGACCGGTTGGCTGCAACGATGCCGAGAGTCGCGCAGGCTGATTCTCGTGATCGTCGCCATCGCCCTGCTGCTGGACAATATGCTGCTGACCGCGGTCGGTAAGTGGAGGCTGGGAAATATTCGCCGCTTCCGTTTCAGAGGTCCGCCGGCGGAATCTCGGGGAAGCGGAAGCGGCGAGGGGATGGACAACGCGCGCGCCGGCGAAGCACTCTCGGGCTAGCTCGCATTTTCCGGCGTTTTAACTTTGCCCTCTTACCGCCGCTCGCTGAGTACGGTCCGGTGTGCTTCGATTTCTTTTATCGCGCGGCAAGATGTTTAATTCACGAGGCACGCGTTCCCGGATCCCTCCGCAGTCGTCGAAAATGTAATATACGCGAGAGGGGACGGCCAACGCGTTCCGGCAATCCGGATAAGTGGTCATACATTTATGGAGCGTATACGGAACAGCTTTTCCCTCGCGACCGCTAACAAATCATGAGACGCGCTTTCGTCGGCTAACCGTTTTTTATCTTTATCGGCCACTCGCTGCCCTGCGTCCGCCTCGTCGCCGTCTTCGGCGTCGGGCGTCGCTTCGTTGACGTTCACGAGGCTCGCTTCGTGCGATTCCGAGCGACTCGCTCGTTCTCGTTATCGCCTCGGCCGCGTGAACGCTCGCGAAACAGTTTTCTTCGTTAACCGGAAACCGAGGGGTCAAGATTCTTAACCCCTCGCCTTGCAGTGCGCGAGACTCGTGAGGATTTTAAACAGAACAAACGCGAATATCACCGAATTCTCGCGGATTCGAATGGAATATCGTTCTCCTATCAATTATTATACTTCGAAGCAAACGCGGAGTATCTATAGAAGTTCACTGTTTTCAATGAATTATTGTATCGATCAGGAATGAATCATAGAGCGAGGACTTAACGATCGCTCCGCTATTTTTATCTCGTACAACCTAAAAAATTCGGTTCGAAGCGTCAACAAGAAAAATGTTCAAGTTTCTATGAAAACCAGTGACGCAACAGTCGAAATTTCACATAGAAATAGATCTCTATAAATTATTGTATCGATCAGGAACGAATCATAGAGCGAGGACTTAACGATCGCTCCACTATCTTTCTCATACATCCTAAAAAATTCGGTTCGAAGCATCACCAAGAAAAATGTCCAAGTTCCTATAAAAACTAGTGACGCGGCAGTCGAAATGTCACATAGAAATAGATCACCCACCTCCAGTTACAAAATATAGTTCCCCAATACTCCGGGGACCGTTGTTCAGAAGACCGGCGAGTCGGTTCGAGTGTAATCGCCGAGGAAAAAAAATAATCGTGTTGCTTGGAGGTGCTGGGATTTGAACCCAGGACTTTCAGCATGCGAAGCAGACACTCTACCACTGAGTTACACCCCCAACGATGATGTCACAGTTCGTAACTGGCGGCCTTATCGGTCGCGCCGAGCTCGAGCGCGCGAACGCGAAGAGATCTGTCTCTGCGAGAACCTCGAAACTGACGGCGGCGCGTCTTCTTTCCTTCAGTTCCGATCATCCCGGAGTTCCTGTACGACATTAAGCACCCGAACGCGACCCTGAGCCAGTTCCTCGAGGCGGAGAACGCCCACGGGCGAGCGACCCTCGCCGCGAACCACCGCGCGTTCAATCAAGCCCTGAACCCCATCAGGACGACGCCGAGCACGAATGCGAGTTCCAGCTCCAGCACCACGCCGAAATGCCCCTGCGCCCCGAACAGAGGCAACGACTCTCAGCTGGAGTTCCTCTACGCGACCACCACCCTCGCCAACGATCTGCCCGGTAAGAAACGCGACTCGCCTTCTAGACAATCGCATCGCTTACGCTTCTCGGATTGTTAGTGGACAGCGCGGCGAGCGACAACTTCACGGAATGGAAGGAGAAGGAGCAGCGACACCGCGAATTGCTGGAGGAGACGGTCGCCGTTGGCATCATGTTCGCGTCGAAGGCGTTCGTGCAGCTGCTTGTCAACCCGATCGTCGGTCCGTTGACGCACAAGTGAGCAAAAGGAACAACGTGCGGCGCGTCGCGCGGCTAGAGGATCGAACTGGTCTCCTTTTGTTTTCAGGATTGGGTACAGTATACCGATGTTCACCGGCTTCATCATCATGTTCTTCTCGACGCTGATTTTCGCGTTCGGCCGAAGCTACGGCATCCTCTTCCTGGCGCGAGCGCTGCAGGGCGTCGGCTCCTCGTGCTCGAGCGTTTCAGGTAATTTCTTGGAACGATCGGCCTGGAATTGGAACGGGTATGACACTTTATGTGCTCGGATGGATTTGTCGGTAGGTATGGGCATGTTGGCCGAAAGATACCAAGATGACAAGGAACGCGGAAACGCGATGGGCATCGCGCTGGGCGGACTGGCGCTCGGAGTTCTCATTGGACCGCCGTTCGGCGGTGTCATGTACGAGTTCGTCGGGAAATCTGCTCCGTTCTTGATACTGTCGGCGCTGGCCCTCGGCGATGGACGTAAGTGTAGCGTGTGTACTTACTTCTAAGCGAGATACTTACTATTTCTGTTCTGCTTCTTCGGGACCGTTCAGTTCTTCAACTTCTGGTGCTGCAACCGTCCGTGGTCTACACCGAAGCGGAACCGCCATCTTTGAAGACGCTGATCACCGACCCCTACATCGTACTGGCAGCCGGTGCGATGCTTCTTTCAATCTTATTCCGAATCCCAGTCAGATTAACCCTTTGTAATCCCATTCCTTTGTTCAACGTGTTGAAACAAGATTAACCCTTAGCACTCTAGATGGTTTTGTAATCTAGCAACTAATTTTTATAGTATCCCTAGCGAAAATGAACAATGCTTTAACATTTCTTCTTTCATTTTCCTTCTTAGTGCAAAATTTGGATGTGTGAAAATCTAATGATTGTAGGGTAGTTTCTTTAAGATTCACTAAAATATGTAATATTGGAGCCTACGGAGTTCAAAGGGTTAAGATATTCCAGCCGAATGTTTTCATTTTGTTCACATGTTCATTCTCGAGTAAGAAACTTCTCTCCCAGGTGCCATTACGTTCGCTAACACTGGCATCGCTATGCTCGAGCCGAGCCTTCCGATTTGGATGATGGACACGATGGGTGCGAGTCGATGGGAACAGGGCGCCGCGTTTTTACCAGCGAGTATCAGTTACTTGATCGGCACCAATCTTTTCGGACCGCTCGGACATAGGATGGGACGGTGAGTGAATAATTAAAGTACAAATAAAACGATCACACCTTTTATCCATTTCCCTGCAAGCTTGACCTTGAATGACCTTGAACCATAGGTCCTTGAATTCGTCTTAAAACCCACTGTTCGACAATGGATAAAAAACCGTGTCGTTCCATTTAAGAAAAGAAAGTTGACCTTCACCTCACCTTGGACTGTCCACCAGGAGAAATAAAAGTTCCACCACATGATATCCCCTTCGGTACTGAACAACCTTCGTCTGAAACATTTTTGCGTGTAATCAATATTTTCGGAGATATTCGACTGTAACGCTTCATAATTTCCACCCTGTATTTATTTAGCCATTGTATTTCGGGGAGTGCAACAATTCTATATTTTTCATGATCGTAAACATAATAGTTTCTAAGTATCGTAACGATAATGATCATCCTGCTGATTTTGAAATGCAACGAAAGACTACGTTTTCAATGCCTGGATAGCTCAGTCGGTAGAGCATCAGACTTTTAATCTGAGGGTCCAGGGTTCGAGTCCCTGTTCGGGCGAATTTTTTTTCCTTCTGTTATATTTATTTTTTCGAAGGTTAAAGTTCAACTATCGTTTCGCCGATGATCTCGCATTGATTTTGTACGAAGGTATCTTTTGTTCCAGGTGGTTAGCCTCCCTGGTTGGACTTGTGATTATTGGCATCTGCTTGATGTGCGTGAGTATCTCGTACAAGTGTCGACGGGTACTGTTTGAAAAGTGTTTAACCCTTTGCACTCGGAACTTTAGGAATGTTTCACATTTTTTGACCAGACGATGTTCCTTGAAACTAACAAGACACGAGTACATCGAGGAGCAAAGCTATTCCGTATTTCACGTGTCAAGGCATCGTACAAAGTTCAAATGGCCAATTGATTCGACACAGCAAAATTATAGAGTTTGACATTTAATATCAAACTTTGTACAATGCATCGACATGTAAAGGATTAAAATAAAACAACCTCTTTCTTTAATTTATGTGCGGTTCCTCGTTAAGTTTGAAAGAATGTCGCTGGTATTTGATTAAAAAATCTTGAGTATTTCTAATGAAGAACTTCTGGAGTGGAAAGGGTTAAATATCATGTTTCATTATTTCACCACGTCGCCTTCCCAGTGCAAAGGTTAAAATGCACTCGACACGTGTTTAGAACGTTTAGTCTCGATTTTGCGTTTTTCGTTCGTCCGACCAACATGGCCGTTTTGCGTTCGCAGATACCCTTGGCTACGAATATCAATCATTTAATCGTACCCAACGCTGGTCTGGGATTTGCGATCGGTATGGTGGACAGTTCGATCATGCCTGAATTAGGATATCTAGTGGACATAAGGCACAGCGCTGTTTACGGAAGCGTTTACGCTATCGGAGACGTTGCGTTCTGTTTAGGTTACGTGATTGGTACGTATATGTATTCAAATTGAACACCTATAAAGGAACAATAAATCTGCTGACAGACATATAGTTAACATATAGTTAACATATAATTAACATGTAGTTAACACATTGCGTACTGGCAACGAGAAGTCTCGTTTTCATATAAAGACACTTAGCTAATTTCGCTAATTACCGTAGTACTTAGAAAAATATTAAATTCGATTCAAATTGATCATCTGTTTAACGTTCCGTGCCACGGAAACTTCGGTCATATTTTGCTTATGAACTGTATCGAGTTTTTCAATAGAATAATGTTATATTCAAGTTTTTGGTGATTTTTATATACTTTGATATTATTTGTTTGTTTTCCATTTACCACATGTGCTACACGTGGCACAAACGTGTTAAAATACATTACATAACAATATATCTGAGTTTTTCTATGTTTCATAAGATTCATTAAAACATCTAATATTATTCCTGCTGCAATATTAGAACCTACAGAGTTCAGAGTTAAAAAGTTCAAAAAAAAAAGGAACAAAAAAGAATTCTGCATCGACCGGGAATCGAACCCGGGCCGCCCGCGTGGCAGGCGAGCATTCTACCACTGAACCATCGATGCTGCTTGACCACAGAATTCAATTTCTGGAAATTGACTATTATTAGTTCATAGACAAAACTGTTAGAAACACATGCCCGAATACATATGTACATCGTTTCTCAGGTCCCGCGCTGAGCGGTACACTGGTGAACAGTATCGGATTCGAATGGATGTTATTCGGGATCGCGATCTTGAATTTCCTGTACGCTCCGTTGATGTACTTCCTGCGAGCACCGCCGACCAAAGAGGAGAAGAAGGTAAATTGGCTCAGTTCCCGAGTGACGAACGCGAGCTAGAAATATTGACGAAACGATTACGTTCCAGTCCCTGATAATCGGCGAGAAATCGTCTGTGCGCTACATAACGTACCAGAACGAGGAGGACGAACAATAGATAAGAGGACGCGCTTCCCGACCAATACTTAGCCATCCTCGAGACGCGACGGTGGAACCATAAGCTCGACGATGGACACGATCGTCTATCGATTCTCGGAACCTTTTCCTTCTCGTTGTTGAAACTCGATGTTCGTGTATAAGTACGTATGTTACCGTTCCCCGGAATGTTCCCGCGACATTGTTGTAAAAATCGAGCAAGATCGATTCCCCCTTTCGTGTTCGACGATTCAAATAGCGACGCCGTGCGAACCGTTTGGAAAAAGTACTCCCCACTGTTCGAAGGAACAAGAAGCTGCATCATTGATGATTCTCAACTGCAGAAACGACCGCGTTACTTATCCGATGCACATTGTATATACGCGTAGCTCTAGACAGTGGAGGAAAGGAGATGTCAGTATCCGAAAAAATGGCCGGCCTCGACAGCGAATCTGCGTGTATCGGAATTATTTCCGTGATCGGTATTCGTTGCTCTATAAGTACCTACTCCGCGATGTCTTCGGCCGCTCGTGACGGAAGCGTTATTTATCATTCGCGTGTACGTGTGCCTGTAAATCTTGACTAAATCGGTAGAGCCAGACTCGGAGGACCGCCTAATTTGGATTCCCTGAATGGCTGCAGGGAAACCGATCGCGAAACCGGCGGTTAGGTATCATGAAGAGTTCTCCGGAACTTTGGGAATTCGACAGTAATCCGTGAACATTGTACATTGTAACGTAAATCGGTTCTTCCGTTCCGAGAGCCGGAGTCTCGCGAGCTTGATCGTTAGCAGATGCGGTCCGAGCGTCGATTCGCATCGGTGAATCGAGTCGACGAGCCTGCTTTTCGTTCCTTTGTGCTTCCGTTCTTAATTCTGATCATTGAAATCGCGAAATTCCCTCGGAGAACGATCCACGGCTCATTATGGGTACGATACTGTCGTTCGCAAACGCGAGGTAGCGTGATACGTTCGTCGAATTTGCAAATTACATAAGGTAAACGTCGCGTGAATTCGAGGTGGCACATTCAAACGATGGAGAAACGTTTCCGTTTCGTTTGCGCTGGATCTCGCGATAAGAAATATTCGTGTGACAGGCATATTATATATATATATATATGATAAAATGGTACACGTGTATATTTGCGAAACGTTGCGTAATATGATGTAACGGGTCGCCTGTTCTTCTTCAAAATAGATTCAATTGTTCGTATATATATATACATACATGTAAGTAAGTACGTATCGATTGTAGAAAGTATATAGCCAATCGTAATAGTGTAAAAGTTTGCGGAAATGATTGTAACCCGCTCCTTCGTATTTGTGATTTCGGTACCGAAGTGCTGCGCGAAACGCGTCGTCCGATCGTACGGGTCCTAAGCTACTGTGAATAGAAAACGTGTCTATAAAAGATACAGCTGTGCTTCACGTGTAATCTTCGATAGTCGAATCGTGGCTCGGTAGGATAGAGAATATAGAGAAATGTCTTAACATTAGAACAACCACTTTCGTGCTTCGTTCAGCGAGTTGACAAGCTGCAATAATTCCGATATTCCCGCGACGGAACTATACCTGTAGTAAATTCGTGAAGACTATAGAATTCTGATAACATTTATCGCTTACTTATACATCGGAGGGAGAATTTAGGGAATTAGGATGATTCTGAGGTCCATCGCAACGAACACTTCTTAGCCGAGGAACAGCGAACTGTTTGAATGGAAAGTGGCGAAGAAGAGGATAAAGGGAAATGAAAATGAGAGATCAGAAGAAGAGGAAGAGGAAGAAGCTAGCCGAACACAATAACGTATAGCAAGATAATCGCGGAAAGTTTGCCAACCAGGAACGGAACAACACGGTGAAGTATGCGTTCACGTGTTCACCGGTCCTCCGCGAATTCGATGAAATCCACAAGGTTGCGACCGATGGTGCAACCTACTCCCGTTGAAAAGAACGAGTCAATTCGATTTGCAAATTCGCTACGAACCGTCAGTCACGCGCGTCCATCGGAGGGAACGAGGCGCGGACAATGCTCGAGATTCGAAATCCTTGGGAAACCGACGTCGCCATTTTATAGGGGGTAAAGAATCGCATCGGGAGACGGCGAGTCGCCTTCGTTGCGTCGTAATGGCGTCAACGCTGTTCACTGCGTTCTCAAATGTATACATATAAACGGTGCGTTGCGCCGCTCGCGTCTAAGATCCTTCGGACTTGTGTAAATATCGAAAACATGGATGTATGTATTTGAACGTGTACGTAATTATAGTGGAACGTAGCATGTCGTACCTGATTCTTCGAGCCAACTCTCTCGTTGGTTTCGCTTTTTCCCTCTTTTCGTCCAGAGTCGCGTAGAACGTCGAATCGTTCGAACTCCGTTACTCTGCTTGTACAAAACGTGTATCTCGCTTGTTTGCTTACGTACAGTGTTACGCACACGCATACACACACGTGTACAGGGTACTTACCAGATGACAAGAGGAAAGTATTAATCGGGGGCGTTGAGAAGAGAAACAATAGCCACTTTACCAACGCGCGAGGTAATTTCATTGTGCTCGTGTAGCTGAAATCTACGACAATTGCGAGACGAGACGAAGCAGCGAACACGCGTTTCGCATTATCCCTTGACCCCTATCCTTCGACCGATCTCGAATCTGAATCGCGACACCGTGTACTGCTCGATCCGATTCTATTCGACGCTTTTAGATGTACCTTCGCGCCGCGCGAGGAGAACGGAACAAAATCTTAGCGATTAATTCGTCGACAGCTGCTATTGTGAACAGACAATAAGCAACGATCACACGGAGATGAACGATCGTTTGATCGGTTCGCGTCGAGTAAGGAATATATCTCTGTTAACTGCACCGAAGAACGAACGAACGAACGAACGAACGAACGAACGAACGAACGTCAGTCCTATTAATCGTTTCTATGCCTATGCATGACTTTATTTACCGTTACTCTGCGAGTACAGTACGCTCCTGTACTCCTCTATGGTCGTAACTAAAATATTTAATCAGCTGGTGTATGGGTCCGATACTTAATGCCTATGTAGTTGTTGAGAAACAACGAAATTTGGAAACAAAAAAGCAAAATAAAGGTGTTTCTTCTATTAAATAAACGACGCGATTGCGACGGTGTTCATTCGTGGGATACTAATTTTGAAATACTTATTTCAACGAATCCGGCGACGTTGAAACGACGTTTCGCTTAATATAAATGCATGATGCATATATGTGTGTGTATCGTTGTATCAAATAAACGTACGTGTTGAAATCGCTATACGCACAATACATAGTAAGGTGTACAATGGAATCTTGGAATGTATCGTTAAGGATTTTCTTTTTCATTTTTTTTCTTTTTTGCATCGTGGACAATCGTCGGATGATTCTCTTTCTATTCCTGTACAACACTATATTATTTAATTACAGTACGAAATAGTCTTACAATAGATATACAATTCATAGATATACAACTTTTTTTGTTTGTTTATTCTCTAGATATTCAAGTTAGAAAAATATTTCGTTAAAAGGTAATGGTTATCGGTAACTGCACCACGAGATTCTCGGTTGGATTAAGATCACATGCTACGATACGAACGATGAAACAAAGAGTCTTGTGTATCGCCGTCGACCGTTAACCCCCCCACCCCCGCGATTAACGATTGAACGGTAAGCGACGATAATTCACGTTTACACAGGGTCTGAACGCGTTATCGATTATGATGCAATTTCAATGTCAGTATCATCGCATTCGCGCGTACGCGAATAGAAATATAATCGTATATTTCATCCCCAATCGCAACTCTATTAACATATTTCATTTCTTACTCGTATTATGCGATTACCTTTCAATTACTTGCCGATCGAAAGACGTCGAATTATTGTACTAATTAACTAAAGTGACATTTATCATTGTTATCGATGACAAATACTCCCGGTGAAATTCAATAATCAAATGATCCGCGGCGTATCAATTTCAACCAATAAGAAGCACAAAATGAGGAATCATTACCATATCTTCCGCGAGAAACTCACGGGAATTCACGGGATACGATGTATCATCGAAAGTCTGTAAATACTTGATCGATTTAGGCGTGACGTGTTGCGAACAAATCTGTAATATCCTTTTCATACAGCTGTATCACAGTATTTAAAAATATATCAGCCTAGCATCTTCTGGATTCTGTTCCACTGGACAGTACGGGCATTTCAATCTGAAAGACAGTTAAATAAATTACATGTAGTAAATTCAATCTTCTATTTGACGTTATCGTTTCCATCCGATTACATACTTGTTCGCGTTAGTGAGCTTGTTCAACGCGTCTCTCGAAATCACGTGACCGCAAACCAATTTCATCGGTGGATTATTCTCTGTGCTCTGTTGTCGTAAAATCGGACAAGCGAACACAGAATGGTAACGACTCTGTTTGCCTAAGTCGATTTCAATCTATACAGAGAGGGGCAAAAGATTCGTCAGAATAACGTGTAATCATTCACGGATTGTCCAAGTTAGCTACGTCTACTTACGGGCAGCTCGTCCTTTCCATTCCAAACACCGGTTACTTGCTTCTGCTGCATCACTTGTTTAATGTTTAAAAGTGTCGGCAACGCAGTGCATCCCGCGTTAATGCTACAATATAACAAGGTGTTTCTAACGATTCTCGTATCTCCCATTTAATGAAGCACAAAACACATACCATACTGAGAGAGGACTGTTGACGCTTAAGCCTAATAGTGTACACGCCTCTCTCGTGAATACGTCGTGTATATCGAGCCACAATGTTGGGTCTAATAAATGACTATATGGAGAGGATTGTATTCCATTTGGCAAGTAAAGTAGCGTACCCATTAGTGCTTGCACCTCTTTCCCATGACGCCCGACGTATTGTGTGAAATTCTGCCTAGCATACATTATTGCTTCTGTTTGTTTACTAGGTCCTTGTTGAACTAACCTTATGAAATGTAATCTATGCAGTTTAAATTCCAGAGAGGAATTCTACAAAAAATATTGCATGTTCGATAAAGTTGTTTTCAACTAAATCATTACCGTTAGAAGTATTCCACGAGTTATATGTAAAACTACCCCACGCATACCTGTGCTAAAAGAGCTTCCCTGTGTTTTTTGGCCCATGCGAGCGCAGGTTCTAGATTTCTTTCCTTCAAACAGTCCAATATATAATTCAGTTCTGTGAATGGTTCTTTTGTACCTTCGTCTGTTTTAATTCCAGCCTCCTGGAGCAAAAATTCAATATAACTCTGCCGTAATGTTTGCCATTCAAATATATTGAACAGTTATATTTCATTCCAACAGATATGCGGTTACCGCTGCTAATTCTGCTGCGATATCCAACATTCCGTGACGATAGAAGTGTTGACAAATCACTTGATTCAACATATGCGTCTTCTCTGGACCAGAAAAAACATCTTCTCTGCTGGTACTTGCAAAATCAGCGATAAAATTTCTATCAATCGCCTTTCCAACTTTTGACACTGTACTGTGCAACTCCCGATGTTCGGTAGCCAAGTGATGTGCGGTCTCTCGAACTTTTTTCATTGTGTCTTTCAACACTTGCGCTTGGCCTGGTGTCAGCTCATGATCGGACGGTGCTGATAACAAAAAAATCGGCATTAATTTTTAACGGTACTCAATTCGAACGTTGCTCATTTTATGGCGATCACTAAGAATTTTCTTCTTAATTTCAATCGTAGGAATCGCTACGGCAGAGGATTGTTTTTAATGCGAGAACAAGATTCTGATCGAACGCGTCGACGCAAGAGGTTAGAAACATACAAAAACAAGGTAAAAAGTGGATGATCTAGGTGATTCACGGATTAATTAAATCAATGTTATATATCCGTGAATCTTTTTGTGACCGTGTTACAATGTAAAATTCGTCTCTGCGTTCAACACTAATACTATTAATATCAACACCTCGACAGGATTTTATTCTTTGCTCAATGAAACGTCATCGAGACATAGCACGCAAGTGATCGGTATTTTACCTTCTTCAAATTCCTTTTTTAGAGACTCGATATGATTTATTAAATCGCGCAATACCGTTTCTGCATGTTCGTTTATTGCACCAAATTTTAATAAAACTTTGTCAACTTCACGTTCAACCGCATTACACGCCTCCATTATTGTTTTTCCTGGCTGATATCGCGTCACTACTTGTCACTTCTGCTTTATGCACGAATCACATGCCATGTAGGCTTTGCGAGTCACACACCCGTAGCATGGATGCGCGTGCCCGCGCATCTTACTCGCTATTACGACCTTTCTACCATACATCTGCACGTGACACGGTATGTGCGCGCGCACATCCATGTCCAATTTATATCGATTTCGGATCACCAAGTGTTGTTTTCCTTTGTTTATTAAGGATTTTGAAAGCAACGTACAGGATACGAGACACGTCTTAAAGAAATCTGTGAAGAATAGTGAAAATACCATGTGGATATATCAATTAAGCGTTACGCGTCTTTATTATTGTTCCAGTTGTCTTTAGGTACATTACGTATGGTTCACAATACAAACTGTTACATACTTGTTCAACACACCAGCATTACTAAATAAATACTTATAGGTATAATTAAAACATGTAGCCACTGTAAGAATTTCTCGTTCATTTTGGAATGTTAATGTCTAAAGAAGAGTTTACAATATTCACAAGTACCTAAATGCCTAATTTTCATTCCAATAATACGATTTGATTTACAATTAAGTTTCATAAACTTTAACTTCAGGCATTATATTTACGTCAAGTATTCTCCTTTGAATATTATTCCTACATTGCTGCCTCTTCCGTCTGCAACTGTTTGTTGCTCTGTAAGAAACACAGCAATATTGTAGACAATGAACCACGAATGTCACGATAATAATGTCACAGTAACATTTACCCATTCACGAGCCATCACAAGAATAGTGGTGTTAGATAACTTTGGTCCGATAAGTGGGTTCATTTGTGCCATGTAGCAACATAACCAGCTACAAACATTTATGACGAATTGTAAACATACAGATATTGAAAAGAATATACTGAAATATTTTAATTAATTTTCGTCAACTTACAATAACCAGCACGTGAAAGCTGTCAGCATAAGGATAACCTGAAGAATTCTAGAAAAAGGAAACCTTGTTTAAAAGAAGCGCGTCGTTTAGCAATCGAATTAACAATGTGACAATAGGAATGATGTTTCGATCATTTTAATTATTTCTTGTGACACAAATCATTTGCGGGAATCAGAAATTTCTGAGAAATTTAAAACAGAACAAACAACGTACCCTCGGTTAACACCTTTCGGGACGAAAATGGGTAACACTATTCCTACTACGGCCCAGATTGCTGTACAAAATAATACTGGTAACAAAGATGCTGCCATTCTTTTTTGTTAATAAAATTCTTTCTTATTTCCGATGTTTTTATCAAAGGAGAAAACCCACAAAACAGGTGACTTAACTGACACAAGTACGAGTCACGTGAAGGGAGGTTTCGATTCACTTCGATAGATTGTGTGTGACGTATCGTTTCGATATCTCGATTTTAAGTACAGTCGATTGTACCTGATAATCGAATATAAATCGAAAACCTTGCTCATTCGTTGCAACATTATTCGTTGATACGTGTTAACTATGAGAAAATGAAATTTGTGCATTATAATTAATTGTTTAATTTCACAACGAGGAATCTTGGGACATTTTATTCTAATTGAAATACATGTAACATTATTAAATTTGATATTCTTGTTTTCCAGGGGTGTCCGGAATGGAAATTGGAACGCTAAAACATACTCTCGGTAAATCATATAAATGTAGCATGTTTATTTCTTAATTGCTAAATATTTTCTCTGTTACTTCTGTACTATGATTCAATCGTTGAATATTGCTGTAACTTTTCGACGTTTCTTTGATCAATGGTCCATCTCCGCCTCCAATCGATGAACACTGATCTATTTGACGAGTCGTTACGTCGGACTCAGTTTTCAAGGGACGAACCAATGGTTCATTTATGGTTACACTTGAAACTGATTTTTTATTTTCTACACCTGTCGTGTTATTCTGTTGTTGCTTATCCGAATGAGATTTCGATGCATTCGAGTTTAAAGTTGTACAAGTGGTTACAAATTTTTCCAGAATATCTAAAAATATTATTCTATTAGCGACAGATTGATTAATTAGAAACTCAATATATAATATACTCGTAAACACATTACCCGTTAAGTTAATGCTTTCTCCAGAGAAGTAAATATCATCCTGAGAACTAATACTGTCTCTACTGAAAAGGTGTTGTCTAATGTTAGACAAATTTCTGGTTTTCAGTCTATTATTTTTCGACGTTCGCCCTATGGAGTTATCCTTGCGCGGTGTTTTATACATAACCGAACGTTCTGTTCGCATTTCCCGACCCTTCTTGATATACGGGATCAGACATGATAAATGTAACTGCTGTCTACATACGCCATTAGCAGTTTGTATAGATAAAGGTGATTTGTAATTACTCACTGAAAAAATACACGTTAAGAACGTGACGTAACGCGTGGTGGTGTGTATATAAGATATTTCTACCTGTGTAGGGAGTTCTTATGTACGTAAACTGTTTTTGCGGACAATTATGAGACGATTCGCAAATCGTGGACAGTACTCGACTACTCATCTCTGAAAATAACGAATATTGAAACAATATCGTTTAAGAGATAAATATATGGTGTTACAAGTTTTCATGTACCGTGAATAGTATCTCCTTGGCCTTTCCCATTTTTCCCGTAATTCGCATTTATCATAGACGTGTTGTTCATGATGGCAACCAAAGCGGGATGCAATCTCTTCACGACATTCAAAATTAATTCGCATCGTTTTATTACTCGTAATTGTTGAGGTTCCGTAGCATTGTCTGTTAGGAGACTCTTCGCTGCAGCGTCAGCCTCGTATATTGCTTGAAAATAAATACAATTACTCAAACTCGATAATAAATACGATTACATGCAAAACGTGTCAGCTCTTACCAGCTTTTAATTCTCTGATCATCATTATCGTTTGCCGTTCAATCATGTCGCTTCCAATATCATTTACAGTTGTACTGATCTGCTGAGACAATGACAAAGATCTAAGCACAACGCTCTGTACTTGTGCTTGAGTGACTGGTTCTCTATTGTCAAGGCAATTGGACATTATCGATATACGTTCTTGAATATCATCTAAAACTACCTAAATAGCATGTAATAGGTATGGTTTCCTTCAAATTATTTTCTATATGAAATATATTATTCTATATTATAGTGAAATACCTCGCAATAGGCTGCCGAATCCATAACCAGATTAATGGCGTCGTGTAACTTATTTACTTCTAATTGCCACTGACCGGTTAATAACTTCACATTTGCTCGCATTTCTTTGCTCCCTGGATGTAAATAGAAAGTAGTGATTGAAGAAATCAATTCAGTTTCTAATGATTCAAGACTCGCTAAGCAATTCCGTATTTGATTTATTCCTGAAATAATTTAACGTGATACAGTTAGGAAAAAAGTTAAATGAGAAATAAATCTCATTCTTTTTGATATACATGTAAATTGCAGAACTTACGATTTCTATCTTTGCAAGAGGCAATAGCAAACAACCCAATTTGCATAGATTTGTCTATAATTTGATCAAAATCTTCTATAGCATCGGTCAGATCACTTTTGGATCGGTGTTTGGCGACCAGTGAATTACCACAGATCGTGACGAGTTTTCTTAAAGCACTAAAGGGATCGCTGAAGACTTCCATAACGAGATTCAGTACGGATACATTGATTTTACGTTCCAAGCGATACAGAGCATCGTTCAAACTATTCATAAATAAATTATTGAGGGCTGAGTCAGACGATTCGGACGTTAACTGAAACTTCAAATTCTCATATTCCAAGATGATGGAATGACAGGTTCCAGTAATTGCTTTGAAACTGCAGGGATTGCACACTTGTGCTATTGCCATTGCACACGCGAATACATCTTCTATCGGTACCCATAACTCTTTACATTCTTGAATTTGATCTTCTTGAGATTTGTGTGTCATTTCTGCTAAAATATCCAACACCAAATCCATTCTAAATATAAATGCAACAACATTAAACACATAAAAATAGAAAAATAGAAGATTGTTTAAAAGGTAAGACCAACAGATAAGCAATATGTTACCTATAAACAAAATGATTTTCTTTTTCTAATATTTCATCCTCAGGTAACGGATCTGGTGTATCTAATATTCCTATTATCATTTTTAAACAGAAGCAAATCCTTTCGCAGATGTATTTCTTGCAATTCTATGCACAGAAAAACACGAATATTCAATTAAAAGGAAACTCTAAGCCCTTTCAAAGTATTTATATCAGAAATTGGTCTATTACATAAATTGGTGTATTTAATTGATGCTGTTCTTGCACTAATTGGACTAGCAACTTGAATGCTGTACACAATTGACACAAATATAATACAATCTTTTCTGAGTGTGCACGAGATACCAAACTTTTTCTATATATTTGTAAAGGTATAAGCAATTCCAAAATAGAAGTTCCCAATTCCTGAAAAACATATTAGAGTTGTTTAACGTGTTCCAAAATAACACAAAATACTTTTTGCAAGTGTTTCCTATACTTTGATGTTTTGAAAATGTTCAATCTCATCGGCTTTGCCCATTTCTCCAACATAATCTAAACAGTCCATTAGCCTTTGTTTCAGTGGCAGACATTCTAATTTTTCCAAATTTTCGAGAGCTAGTTTAAATTTATCGAATACGGTGGATAAAATTTGTCCAGCAATCTGTTTGTCTATACTTCTTCCCTGAAAAATGTTTATGAACAATAACATATGATAAATTCCATCAATTTAAGATTCAATTGAACATACCGTATCATCTATGTGTTCAAGGGAGCAAAACTCCTGTACTATACTGGCAATTCTTGATTCCATCTCTTCGTAATCACTAATATTTTCCTTTGATAGGGCATCAAATTTTTCTCCTAAACATTCTAATCGATCGAAAAGCGTCGATTTTATCCGTAGAATGTCGTTTGTGCACAAAGAATTATTTTCTATTAGTTCTCTTATTTTGTTTACCTGTAATGTCAAACACACCGAAACAATATTATTTTTCATAGAGATTATTCCACTTACGAACAAAGAGTGTAAATGTACTATTACTTGTTCCTCTATGGGTATTAATATTTTCTTTATTTCTTTCGTTTTTATAGACATTTTATCGTTCCTTCTCTCGTTCAATTAAACGACGTTGTCAACTTCGCGACTCGTGATTGTTTCTAAATAAAATGAACACAGCAAACGGCTGATTTTTTTAACTTTTCCCAATCAACGGACCCCGATATCGTCAATTTTTCACAATGTTGTTATTTTAATCACGCTTTCACATTGAAACTACAGACGGTCCAACGCTTACAGCGTTTTTTTATTATTTTAATTGTAAGAGTTAATTCATTTCCTCTACGTATTTATTCATTCGGATGAAAATGCACGTTGAAGAATGTTTTCGAACATTTCAAATGTAAATAAAACACCTCAATTGCGTACCACGCTCATACAGCGTTCTACCAACATAAACGTATCGAAACATGCTCAACATGCCGAAAAATATGAGAATGTAATATACGGTAAAATATCAATTAATTAAACAGTCTAACTTTCTGTACCGAAATTACGCGAAAGTAATTCACAATTACATCGTTAATTTTTAATTTATTGATTGGCATTTGATAATACCGATGGTTGAACAAGTGGTTTGCTTATAACCTAATTTATCGACATGAGAATTAACGTAACATACAGTATATACATACGTTAATCTACAACTCGATTCGAGAAACAGCATGAATCGTTTGCATATGCCTGTGTGTACAAGAGTAAGGTTACATATACTTTTTGTAGATACGATTAACGTACCGAAGGATACTTTGGAACCTGTTATTTCTGTTCGTTTGCCATTAAAAACCATTACGAATCTTTGAAACGGACCTCAGCTATATGTTCTCCATAAGATTCAAAGTCGAAACATTGGATCGGATCGGAATGATGTTTTATAGACTTGTGTGACTTTTGCGTGATCGTACAGTGGATTCTTTGATAAGTTCTTCCGATAAATTTCTGTTCGTTTATCATTTGTGCGTAATTCGAGCGTATCTGAAAATCTTTACGAATGAAAGCGATGCAATTCACATGTTCTCATTTAATAATTTCACGTGGAAAATAGTTCGTTTTTATCGGACGTGAAAGAGGGTTATATAATTTATCGAATTTACCGAGTAAACGCTAGTATTTCCGCAGGATTTCTCGATTCGATTAACTAACGCGATTAGATAAACGTGTTTGTTGCCGAAATACGTTCCATATCATTCAGGAAATTATTGTTAATTCTCGTGTTACGGTACACTTCCAATTAGACGTACGATTTCGGTGATTCGCGTATGTACATTTGTCCCTTTACTTATAGAATTGCGCGCAGAGTTGGTCTTCTAACTATCTTCTGAGGGACACATGTAACTGAGGACACAAATATTTCCTAAATGTTTCTTCTTATCAATTTCAGAACAGAGGATACAACTTTGATTAATCTTCAAACTTCGTATCTTGGATGTATGATCCGTTCGGTACATCACAGGTGTGGGCTGTATATTTTCGCAACCTTATCCTACTCTATAAAACGATTCGTGTAGATCAGAAAGATGGTTAAACTTTACAAGGACAGTTCAATTTTCCAATTCAATTGGAATCAAGTGGCCCAAGGATTTTGGATGAGGTATCCGAACCCTAACAGGTATGTAAACTTGTAGAGGATTCTAGAAAATGCTAATCTAGTATATAGGACTGTGTTGTCGATCGCTCTGGGTATGAACTAATAAATTTTAAATTCTGTTTTTAGCGCTCACGTTCTCTCAGAGGATACCATATCAAGAGAAGTTAAAAATGGAGTTTTATACACGAAAAGGCTACTTATAAAGTCTGGCTATTTACCAAAGTGGGGAGAAAAATTTACTACCAAAAATACAGTTAAAATTGTAGAAGAGAGTGTGATGGATCCGAAAGCAAAAACCTTGACTACATATACAAGAAATTTGAATACCACGAAAGTAATGGTAATTTGATCGAGCATCTGTTGTTGCTTTCATCACATGTAAATTTCCTTGAACAGAATGAGAAACATGAATTACTATATAATATGTATATATATATTTCAGACTGTCGTGGAGAAGGTTGTTTATAAAGTGTGCGAAGAAAATCAAAATTGGACCATAGCAAAAAGGTCGGCGCAAATCCGCAGTCAAGTGTACGGATTTGGCATCGCTATAGAAGCGTACGGATTGGACAGATTTAAAAATAATTGTAATCGGATGCACGCTGGTTTCAATTACGTTCTGGCTCATTTGTTTCCGCAAACGGCGCAATACATGAATCCAACTCTTTCTCAAATGGGTTTCGTTCAACGAGTGAGTCAGACAGGATTTAGTAACGTTTGGCTTAACGAAAGATCTATCGGATGCGTTAAAAAATTTGTATGCTAAATTCATGTATTAATTTTTACTGATTAATCTGTATTAGCTCGACGACGGAGTCGCAAATAGATCTAGTCTGGCAGAAGATTTCCAACATTCGTTACAAGGTAAGGCGGAGAAGGTGAAGGACGCTGCGAAGAAAGCGACTGATTTAGCGAAGAAAAAGGCTGGACCACTCTATGCTGCGTGCCAACCGCAGCAATCGTAAACGTGACGCCAGGCCGACGCGAGGAAGAATGAAAAGTATTTTTATTGTTAAATAAGATGCTAAAATGTAAATTGTTAGTGGACAATTTTGAGTCGTCCATCGCCGTCGTCGTCATCGTCGTCGTCATCGTCATGATCATGATCATCATTATCATCATCATCATCATCATCATCATCATCGTCATCATCATCGTCATCATTATTTTCTTGACGGTCAAAAATGGTAGAATAAAATTGGTTTCTCGTGGACAGGACTTGGGGTAAAACGCGTGGAATCTTGACGCAACAGAATTCTCACGCCACATTAGTAATCGCGTAGTATCGATCCCGATAGCGATATCGGTAGTAAGTATAGCTTGCTTTCGAAAGCAATTATTTTCTCAAGTTTGAGCACCCGTTACCAGAGAAGTAACATCCAGTCAGTAAGTTGAATCTTGTACGCGAATCGTTGGAAATTCGTCGCAGCTTTCTATGGGAATACTGCACATTGTGCTACACGATCATTCCTTCCAACTGCCAATTCGTTTTTCTTTTTTAATTGTTTAGATCTGTACGATATATTTTTCTAGCAAGCGTTTTAAAACTAGATCACATCTGCTTTCACGGCGAGGGAATGAGAATATTTTAACCCGGCACATTTTCGAAAGGAACATTTTCGTCGTACCTCTTGGAATCTTTAATTATCGATTCCAATTTATCGTACATTCGAACGTACCTTTGCTCGCACCTGTCGGACGATACCTAAACTGTGCTTGTCCTGTAAAATATCTAAGCGCCGTACGAAAGATTTCCCTGAAAACGAATTGAATTCGTTCCTGTGAGACGAGTGTTGCGGCTAACCGGCGTACAATACTATGCGCGTGACGCATACCACAGAAACACGTTGATCCGTAACATTTTTCATGCTTTTTCCATGTTTTCCGTGTTCTCGAGTTATCTTTCTTTTTTTATACTTCTCTCACGTTGCGTTGTCGCGTACAGTTGCATCTATTTCCCATTAATGGAATCGATAGTCGTCGCCCGGACGATTCAATCTCGGTCTCAGCGGCGTGTACGCCTCCGCGTTCCACGGTCGACTACACATTTGGAGATAATCGGAGAATTTCGTATTGACATGCATTCGCGGTAAATCATCTGCAAGTATAATATATATACATATACATATATATATATATATATATGTAAAGAAACATGGTAGTCTGTGCTGCGACTTGCGCATGTACAGTAGGAAATTGTGCAAACGTAGCCGGAGGATGCGTGGGAAATGAACAGATTGAGAAGGATGCGTCTATTCTTAGCTGATATTGTTTGTAAATGGTGTGGATTCAAGGATCGCTTGAACCGAGAAATGTACCAAAATATAGCAATATAATTATATGTACGTCAGACGGAGAAGGTAGTTGCTGTTATTCCACCGTTGACACGTTCGTCTCCTCCTTCGCGTTTTTAAGTTCAGCCTCTTCTTTGTAATCCGGATCGAAACGACCAGGTCCGATTGCATTTCATCGGCGCGCGTATCGGGAATCTTTCGACGCGACGAATTCTTCGAAAGCGGTTTGTTGCCATCGCGATTTCTTCGGTCGCGCAAGACCTTGATCCTTGTAATCTCAAGGAAGGTGGGATTTCCACACTCGTCGGGGCACCACACGCGTTTTCTACATGTATGCGTGCATACAGACTCGACACGTCATTCCCTGCTTCTCTGTTGCTCTGCATCTCGAGTTCTCGTATCGTTTTCCGCGTAAACAAAATCGAAGGAGGAGAGACCGAGAGAGTGCCCCTCGATGTAGTGGTGCGGACGGAAATTATGTAGGTTTGTGCATGAATCCCCCTTGACTGGTCGGTCCGGTGTGAACTATAAAAACCAACTCGTGCCACCATTTTGGATCAGTAAATTATTTACGTCGGCAGACTGAACTGGGAGAAACGGAGGGAAGCGAAGCTGCATATAGACAAATAGATAGATTGATAGATAAGAGAACATCGTGGATTCTGGCAGAATGTGGATATTTTACGTGGCGTTGAGTGAGTAACGTTCAAGATCATTGTAAACGATCGATGCGCTTTCCGCAATGCATTTCTAACAAATGTCTCGTTTGATCGCAGTCGTCTCGAGCGGAGTGCACGCGTTTCCACAGGTGAGCAACGACTTTACCATTTTGCGGTGCATCTCGGGGCGACTCTCGATCAATCGTCGTTTCTTTCTTCCAGAACAATAACGGTGCACGCGACGACGGCCGCCTTTCGGCTTCTTTCGAAGTGGATGGATTCGTTTTCGACGGACCAGCGGACGGACCCGCAGACGGAGGATCCGTGACGCAGACGCCGTTACGAACTACGAGTTCAACGACTGTGACGACCACAACGGCGAATTCGGATATGACCGCGTGCATGGCCGCGTGTCCAGTAAGTCGAAATTCGAATTAATCGGTCAAATTCACGGATTGAATGCTATTTTGATGTCGAACGTGGACGCGTGTTCTTGACACGCGTGCGTATCGGTTCGAGTATCGTGCTAGTTTAGAAACTTAGAAGTCGAGTTCAACAGTTATCGCTCGTTCGAGTTGAAAGTTCGCGCGATTAGGTTTCGGTAACGAGAAACGACGGATCTTCCAGGGGACGCCGGAATATAACCCGGTCTGCGGAAGCAACAGGCTCGACTACGATAATCCAGGACGACTGAACTGCGCGGCGGTCTGCGGCATAGGTAAGGAGCCAAGTGTAATCCGATTTTATTATTTCTGTTTTATTTATCTTATTTATCTGATATTACTGAAAGCGCTGCGTTAACGATCTGAAATTGACGGCACGTGTTTCTTCATTGCAGAGGTGACGATCAGCTACTTTGGAAAGTGTTCGAGTGCAGCTGCGCGGGGATAGTCGCCGATCGCGTTGATCGTTCGACGCGCTCGTTACTCCCATTTCTCGCGTCCTCGTTGCTTGAATAAAATTTTCAATTTGATCGTTAATCGACGACCGTCTTCTTATCCTAGATTTCCAAGGTAATTCGCGAGTTTCCTGTACGGTAGAGGATCGGGGTCGCGATTGTAATAAGGATAGCGATCAAGGCGAGGATGAGGATGGTTCCCCTCAACCGAGGGACGAGGACGAAGCGTTGCGATCGGCCCATCTGACCCTCCGCGAGATTTCGAAGTTCCCTCCGTGAATGCCGTAGAGATGCCTAGTAAGTACGTTGATCCTTTCTTCCTCCGCTCGTATAGCGGTCCGTCTGTACTGCGCGACCGTCAGTAGGCAGGCGAGAATCAGTAGGATCTGAATGATCAGCCAGAAGATGAGCAGGCTGAGGACGAGGCTCGCGTCGATGCAGAACAGTCCTTTCAGGGAATCTGGAACAGAGCGAATGTGTAACGCGTGCCATCTCTCGGAAACGCGCGCTTACTTTCAGCCGTGGTCAGGACCGTGTCGGGGGATACGTTGCCTTCCCTCGAGGATAACCGGTCCGACGAGGGCGCGACGGGATACTGGACGATTATAGAGAGCCGAAGCGGAAGTTCGTCCGGCGTGGTGTCGTCCCGCTCCGTTGTATCGGCCGACGACCCGTCCGTGCGTCTCCTTCGCCCGTAAGAGGATTGACCGCTCTCGCACTTGGTCTGGGTCAGAGCTGATTTAATGGATCGGAACGACGCGTCGAGTTACAGGGTTGAACGCCGATCGACCTCCGCCCTACTCACCGGCGCGCATTCGTCGGCGCAGAAACGAACGATCACGTTGAACCGGACCAGCTGGCTGTCGGGGAATTTGAAAGCGGCGAAGGTCGTGACCAACGATTTACCGTCGGCGGGATCCTTGGACATGGCCGGGAATGTGGTCGGATCGGTAGGGCAACCGAGCTCGTCGAGAAGCCGGTGGGA